TTGGCCAGGGGGGAGCCCAGCGTCCTTAACCACCACGCCACCTGACAGCCCCACAACCAGTATTTTTCAGGCCACCAGATTCAGAATGGACATACAGATGGTCATTTGGGATCGAGCAGCATTAACCAAGAGCTGGCTCAACTTCCCTTCATTTGTGACAGCTAGTTTAGGGAGCCCGCGGACCCCTCAATGTATCGCCATCTCTAGTACTTTTTTTTTGTTTTGTTTTGTTTTTTGTGAGAGGTTTTTGCTATAGGGCACGTGCGCTCGCCAGACAGACAGAGACAGACAGAGAGATAGAAAGCAGGAAATCACCCCCCAGGGGGGATTGCCATGCCGCAATCCCTTCTCCTCCATTCTCCTCTCGGGATCTTGGGCACGTACGCACACGTGCCCGGCGTGAGTTTAAGCCACCAGGTCCGGGACTCGAACCGCGGTCGACTACGTGGGAGTCCAGCGACATAGCCATTACGCTAACTGCTGGTCCCTCTAGTACGTTTTTGTCTCCTATATCCTTATGGTCCAAGGGACGTAGCCTAGCTGAACAAGAACTCTGGGGGCCAGCAGGTGATGTAGTGGCTAAGGCTCTGGACTCCACATGGCCAGTCACAGTTAAGAGTCCTGGATCTGGTGGCTTGAAACTCACGCTGGGTGCATGTGTGTGCATACCCAAAATAATGAGAAGAAAATGGAAGAGAAGGGATTGTGGTGTGGCCATCCCCCCTGGGGGGTGTTTCCTCACTCTCTTTCTCTGTCTCTCCAGTGAGCATACTCAATTTATACCAAAAATCCCTCCCCCTAAAAAAAGTGGTTTTTTTTGGAGAGAGAAGTTTTTGCCATAGGGCATGTGCGCTTGCCAGAAAGACAGAGAGAGACAGAGAGATAGAAAGCAAGAAATCACCCCCCAGGGGGGGGATGGCCACACCGCAATCCCTTCTCCTCCATTCTCCTCTCGGGATTTTGGGCACGCATGCACACGCCCCTGGCGTGAGTTTAAGCCACTGGGTCCAGGACTCGAACCTCAGTCTACATGGGAGTTCAGCGACATAGCCATTATGCTAACTGCTGGTCCCAAAAAGAACTCTTTATGTCAAGCCTTGTGTCTCTGTTTCCTCTCTTACTGAGTAACCATGGACAAGTGATCAAACTCCTCTAAACCTCAGTTTGATCTGCAAAATGGGGGGGGGGAGGGAATCACCTTACAGCAGTGTAGATATCTGTCCACTGCTTGGTGCACATAACAACTTATATGCTATTCTTTCATTTTTTTTTGTTTGCTATAGTTCACATGTGCTCACCAGGAGGAGAGACAGAGACAGGGAAAAGTGAGAAATCATCCCTCAGGGGGATGGCCATGCTGCCAACCCTTCTCCTCCATTCTCCTCTCAGGATTTTGGACACACACACTCCCGGTGTGTTTTTCAAGCTGCTGGACCCAGCCGTGTGGAATCCAGCCACCAGCCAAGCAAAAATGAGTAATGAATAAAAAAGCTGTCTTGGTTTAAATCAGACCTGAGGAACAGCCTCGTCCAGAACATCTAAAACTGCTCTAACAACTACATCCATTTCTTTGGCAGTATCTTTGTTAAGAGAAAGTTTTATTTTCTAGCAACTGAGTCCCTTTCAGTATGGGCCTACAAGTCTCCTCTCAGCTGTAACTAGGAACCAACGACAGCTGCTGCTCCACCAGTCCTACAGCACACTGCGGCGCTCAAAGCCCGGGCCCTGTACCTGCAGTCCCGGGGGACACACAAGCCCGCTCACAGTGATGCAGAACCAGGTGGCTCATCTGGAAGGAGAGGCCACCGTGAGACCTGATGAGTCGCACCAGGTACGATCCTGTGCTTTCTCAAATGCCGGCACCGGTTATGCTCGTGTGGAATCCAGCACGCGTGTGCAGTTCCACTCTCACATGTGTAACTAATTCACTTAAGTCCCGAGTTAACCACTGGGTTCCCTCTTTAACAGACAGACTTAGCTCACAGTTAGGACATCATCAAGCAAAGTGGGTACCCTGTCCCCACAATTGTTTAAATTTGTCATAGGGCACATGCACTCACCAGAGATGGGGTGGGAGAATGAGAAAGCACTCCCGGGGACAGCCATCGCAACCCCTTCTCCTCTCAGGATTCTGGGCACTCATGTACGTGCACCTAGTGCATTTTTCAAGCTGCCAGGTACCCACCTTGAACCATGTAGTGAGCCATGTGGAATCCAGCCACCTTAACTACCATGCCATCAGCTGGTCAACCTGCCCCCCACTTTTTAGAGAATTTGTTATTTCAAATTAATATCAAAGTTACCATGAGAAAAAATAAAAACTTTATTGGACTTTGTTACACTTATTTTACAGTTTAGTATTGCTTTTATTTGGAATTACATAAGGCGGAGGATGGGGCACTATAATGCTCTGAAGTGTGGGAATTTTAATGCTCTTTCTGGCTCCCCTGCTATTAAGGAAAATGGGGCAAATGCTTTACACTGGCAAACAAGGACTAAACCTCCCCGTCTGCTCCACAAATCCCTTGCAACGTTATCTCCATACCCTGATATAAGTCACTAGTGTGAAAGAGGAAAGGGTCCCAACAATTCAAAGCTCTGCTCTCCTATCCCCACCCTCCACCCTCTATGTTCATCTGTTTAGTTCTGCGAGAACGCCTCGAATTCGGCTCCCATCAGACTGGCTGAGCATCTCTGACCTTCGAATATTATCCAGGCTGGTTTAGCCCCGTTTGAGATGAGCAGTTGCCATCAGTGCTTTAAAATGGGTTTAGCATTTTGCGAGATGAGCTCATTGCCAATGTAATGATTCAATTCATTGGGCAGCTCTGAGCAGTCGCTTTCTCCCCGTCCCCACCTTCATCCCACAGGGACTGCCCTGGTCACACTGCTCTATGTTCACTCTGTACCCAGCCAAAGTGACCACAGACAGTTTGTGTCCCTGCACATATGCTCTCTGCTGTCCTCAAGGTAAGGTCCCAACTCTTTACTGGGGTCCACACAACCTTTCATACCTCAGTCCCTGCCTACTCTCCATACTCCAGCCTTCATGAATATTGTTTTTCCTGTTTCCTTCAACATGCAGTTTTACCTACCTGTCCGCAATGTCACCCCACCTTCCCATCCCTCTCTTAGCTAACTCCCAAAGTTCCTGGCTTACGCATCACTTTCTCTGAGTCCTCTACAATTCCTAAATCACGACACTAATTCACCACATTATAATCACTTATTTTATTATCAGCTTATTTTCACGCTCCTCTAAACGATTGAGTCTAAGATGGCAGAGCCTGTGTGCGTCTGTCATGTTGAAAGTCGTGCCCAGAATCCAGTGCCTGGTGCAGAACAGACACTTGGTAAACTCCTGGGAAAATGACCTGTTCTGTGGCACTTCCCTGCACGCTGCCTCTCAGGAATACGCTTCCTGACAGTGCCTTACCTGTCTCATATCTACCCAAGTATCCTACCCAGAGAAGATACCAAGGATCATTTTGGGATGAGTTCAAGATTTTGCTCACCAGTCAGACCCTAAGCTTTAGAAGGAATGGAAACTTTCTGACTAGATGCCTGATAACCTGACTGTTCAGAAAACAAGAATGGCTGCTAATTTATAAAAGCTGTTAAAGAAAGAACCTTAAAAGCTTAATGTCTTTCTTTTTTAATTAAATACCTTTATAGTGCAAATATAATAAATTCACATGCATTTGACTTTTAACATACTCATAACAAGATAATTATGTAGATTAAAGTTGCAGTGTTTGCCGAAGTGAATCTTCATTTTAACCAAACCTACAAAGCATTAATTGAAATGAACATATCTGGCCAAACCACAGACATGAATCAGGCAGCATCGATGTAATGTTAAAAAAGTAAATAAAAAAACTTAAGATGTAGAAGCAGTAGTCATATCAGCAACCACCCTTCTGGGGAAGGACCCACATACACAATCCTTCCCCCAGGACTGTGGGCTACACACCTCCTCAGAGTTTAAGCACTGAACAGTGTTTACATCACACAATGAGGACTCTCACAGCAGAAAACTGTCATGTAAATACCTTTTTGTGTTGCTATTTGGAGCGCTTTTTTGCTTGTGTGTGTTTTTTCTTTTTTTTCTTTTTTGTTGCTTTTTAAGAATACTACAATAGAAATATATTAATGATGGCCTCAAATATCCAACATTTTAAACCTTACATTTTAAACCAAAGTTGTAGGAACCTACAGACCTTTATACAGAACTCTCTTCACAGCACAGCTGTAGTTCACTTTAAAACACAAAAACGTTTTCTTGAGCTATGTCCTTACAAATAAGCATAATGTACATGTTAAGTGAAAAGTTCAGATTCTGCGTTAAGCATTATTCAATCTTGCCTCCTGATATGGACCTGGATATAGTCAAATCTGCAAAGCGTTCGCTTAATATTTTAGTTGAAGCAAACTTATAAGGGATATGGTTTTCGGCAAAGGAGACCTTTATGAATTTCAGTGGTGTCCTTGGCACTCCGAGGTTCAGCTGAAGTCCCGATTGGTGAGGACGAGGGGAGCCACGAGGGTCCAGACGTAGAGGAGGAGGCAGACCCAGCTGGAGCTGATCTTGACCCACACGGCTGGCCACTTGCTGGTCATGCTCTGGAACTTTGCATCAGGGCTAACAAGCAGAGGAGAGCCAGGTAAAGGAGGAGCCTGGTAACAGCATCCTACAGTGCCCCATCCAAGGCCAAGAAATTCCCCAGTGAAACTGGCTGATGCTACTACCCCCAGGAGATCCTAGAGAAATCTAGAGAAGGCTGCTGTTTCTTATGGCAAGGGGCTCAGCCTCTCAAATGACTTTTCTTAACAGCATTCAAGACCCTGACTATTCTTTGGGCATGGTTTTCCAGGAACATCTAGCTGTTCTAGTTACCAGTAAAAGTCTTGAAACGTCCCTTCTTTAGCACATTATCACTGTGACCAGAATCCTTTGATCTAGCCATCTCGAGACATGGTCAATTAGTAACAAGGACAGGTCAGGCTGCTTTATGTTATGATCTTTTTCTCTTGATTAACTCAAGTTTTGAAGGGCTCCTAGTGGTTTGCACTCCAAAGAATTCCAGAAGTTTTTACGGAACACGGCTTCATCATATGGGTAAGAGGGGTCCTAAGGCAGGGGAATGGAGATTTTATAGGCCGTCAGGGACTAGGTGCTCTCCCCCGTTTTGTAGATGCCTCCTACCTGTACCAGCTGGTCAGGGTCATCATGATGTACAAGGAAGCCAGGCAGAGCATGAAGTGGAAGAAGGAGTAGCTGTACTGCACTCCCTCCTTCTCGTTGTCCACGGCCCGCCGAGGCTGTCCATCGTCCTCCTCGCTGGCACCAGCAGTTGTATCACCAAGGATCACGCTGTCGCTCCCTGACAGGGTCAGCTTGTTCACTTGGCTGTTGTTGGAATTGCGGATGCTGGAAGACAAATCAGAAAGGGGAAATGAAGATGACCGCTGCAACTGGCCTGTACACGAGTCATTCTCAGCGGCTCCTACTTCGGAAGGCTGCTGAAATCTGAGTGCCGCCTCGCATCACCAGCCAGGCAGTGCTTCACCAGATGTGACCGACGGCTTCACTGCTCAGGAGCTGCCCAGGGTCTGCCCCCATGACCTCAGAAGTGCCTCTTCTATGCCGAATGTACCACCCACTCCTCCCAGCTGACCTACTCACCCCTCACTTCTGACTCGTAGCTATGCCCTCTGGAAAGCTATCCCGGAAATCACCCACAGGAGGATTCAGGCTGGGTCAGAAGATGCTTCTCCGACTTCCGACAGCTCCATAGGTTTCCTTCTGCCACAGCGCTTAATCATTCTGTCTGCTCACTGTTCAGAGAACTTAGCAATGACCTTGCTCACCTACGTATTTCTAGCACCACAGATGCTCACTAAAAGTTTGTTAAATGACGGAATAAAAAGTACATATAAAGGACAAAAGCCACGTGATCCTTTCAAGAGACATTAAAGAAAGCATGTGACAAAATCCAAAGTCCTTTCATGACAAAAACACTCAAAGCAGGTTTAGAGGAGGCCTTCCTCAAACCAATGAAGTGCATCAATCAAAAACCCAGAGCTGGTAAAACTGCTGTAATGAGGCAATAATGAAGGTGCCTTGCAAGGCTGGAAGACATATGGCCAGCTGAGGGTTCAGATCCCCAGGCTGGCCAGAAAACACACTAGTTGTACACACAGGTGTCCAGGATCCCAAGGGAAGCTGGATAGCTGGGGAAAGGGACTGAAGTATGCCAAGACTCTGTAGAGGATGTCTGTCTGTCTGTCTCCTCATTCCCTTCACATATGCATGCACATGTCCATTATCAAAAAAACAAACAAAACCAGAGCTAACACTGCACTTAATGGTGAACGACTAAAAGTATCCTCCCTAAGATCAAGAACCAGACAAGGATCCCACTTTCACCATTACTATTCAACACTGTATGAGAAGTTCCAGTCAGAGCAATTAGGCAAGAAAGAGATAAAACGGTATCAAGACTGATAAAGAAGTAAAACGAACTCTCTCTGCAAAGGACTTGATCTCATACACAGAGCTCCGTGTGGAGACCCAGCCTGGTGGCACGGTCAGTGGCAAGCTGAACTACAGTGCTGGAAGTGAGGTGGCCAACCACAATCTGGATCCTAAAGGCAACTTGAAAACATGCTGGGCACATGCACTTGTGCACAAGATCTTGAGGAACTAGAGGCCTGGGGAAAGGGGGCTGTGACATGAGAGCCTATTGAGGGGGCTTCTCTCTCCCCCCCGTCTCTCATGCCAGTGCATACACACTCTCTAACATGAAAATGGGAAAGCTTAGAAATTTACCTATCTCATACATGTACATATATATGGAGGGAGAGAGATAAAATTCTATGGGATACATGCACTAACAAGTTCAGTAAGGTTGCAGGATACCAGACCAATATACAATGATCAATTGCATTTCTATATACTAGGATGAATGACCTAAGTTAAATTATGAAAATTCCACTTAAGATACTATAGAAAAGAATAACATGTTTAAAAATTTAACAAAAGAAAATTTAAGACTTTTAAACTAGTAACTATCAACTCCACTGAAAGAAATTAAAGACCTAAATGAGATATCTGACGTTCATGCACTAGAAAGAAGCCTTAATGTTGCTGAGACTGGTGATACTTTACAAATTGATCTACAGAGTCAACGCAATCCCTGTCAAAATCTCGACTACCTTTTCTTGTAGAAATTGACAAGCTGATCCTAAAATGCACAAACAAAAGCAAGGGACCCAAAAGAGCAGAAACAACCCTGAAAAAAACTAATTTAGAGGAACTCATACTCCTCAATTTCAAAACTTACTACAAAGCTACAGTAATCAAAATAACATAGTGTTGGCATTAAGGACAGGCATATAGATCAATAGAAATAGAATGAACAGTTTAGGGGTGGGGGGAACAAGAAAACAAAAGGAAAAAAAACTCACTATACATTGGTTGTCAACTGATCTTTGACAAGGATGCCAGGAGAATTCAATAGAGGGAAGAATGAAGTTGGACCTCAAATCATATATGAAAACAATAAAATGACAACACAATTTCTTAAATAGGTAAAAGATTTAAACAGACATTTCTTGAAGAAAGATACACAAATGGCCTGGCCAATAAGCACATGAAAAGATGCCCAATACTGTTAATCATTGGAGAAATGCGAATCAAAAGCACAATTAAATGCCACTTCATACTCCCTGGAACCACTACAATAAAAAAGTCAGACAATTACAATGCAACAGTTAGTGAGATTAGGGTTAGTGTGGTAAAATTCGAAATCTCATCTATTGGAGGTGGGGTGGGGCGTGGGTGAGGCAGACAAGGACCTGGAACATGATGCAACCACTTCAGCAAACACACTGGCTGTTCCCTGTAACGTTAAGTGGTCACCATATAACTCAGAAAGTCTACTCTCAGCTACACACTCAAAGAAAACTTAAGACATCCACACACAAAATGTGTATACAATATTATTTGAGCACACTTTTCGTCTTAGTCCCACAGTGGAACCAATCCAAACGTCCATCAACTGGTGAGCAGATAAACAAAATGTGGTGCATCCACACAGTGGAGTTCCACCTTCAACGAAAGAAATGAAGGCTGTGCTAGGTCTGGATGAACTCCACAAACAGTAAGCCAGTGACAAAAGACCCTATCTCATATCAGTTCACACACATGAAATGCTGAAGTAGGCAGATACACAGAATCGTAAAGTAGATTAGCAGCTGCCAGAGGCAAGGAGGAGGGAGAATGAGGGGTGGCTGCTGCCGGGTACAGGGTTTTTCCTTGAAGTAACATTTTAAAACTGATTGTGTAACAATTGAACCACTTCGTGAATACACTAAAACACTACTGAGCTGTACACTTTATAAAGGTGACTGCTACAGCATGTGAATTCTATCTTAATTTTAAAATATTAAGGCAGGTGGGACAGACCGGCAGTTAGCGTAATGGCTATGTCGCTGGACTCCCATGTAGTCGACTGCGGTTTGAGTCCCAAACCCAGTGGCTTCAACTCACGCTGGGCGCGTGAGTGTGCGTGCCCAGGATCCTTAGAGGAGAATGAAGGAGAAGGGATTGCGGCATGGCCATCACCCACGAGGGGGTGATTTCTTGCTTTCTTTCTCTCTCTCTCTGTCTTTCTGATGAGTGCATGCGCCCTATAGCAAAGAACCTCTCAAAAAAAAGAAATTAAGGCAGGTGGCAGTTAAGGTTCTGGAATCCCCATGACTGATGATGAAGGTTCGAGTCCCAGACCTAGCAGCTTGCATCCTCGGCAAGCTTGCTCTCCCCTTCTCCAGCAAGTACACATGCCCTCTGGCAAATTAAAAAAAATAAATAAACAATTAAAAAGGCAGCCAAACCACAGGCTATGGTGTGCCTCCCTTACTCTAAGCAATTTTTTTTAATTATATAAATCTGAGATCAGCAGACAGCATGATGTTTAAGTCGCTGGACTCCCACGTGGTTGACCGCAGTTTGACTCTCAGATCAGGCAACTTCAAACTTACAGCTGGTGCATGTGTGTGCACCTGCCCCCCCAAAATCCAAAGAGCATCCAAACCACAGGCTATGGTGTGCCTCCCTTACTCTAAGCAATTTTTTTTAATTATATAAATCTGAGATCAGCAGACAGCATGATGTTTAAGTCGCTGGACTCCCACGTGGTTGACCGCAGTTTGACTCTCAGATCAGGCAACTTCAAACTTACAGCTGGTGCATGTGTGTGCACCTGCCCCCCCAAAATCCAAAGAGGAGAATGGAGAAGGGACTGTGGCACGGCCATCCCCACAGGGGTAATTTCTCACTTTCTATCTCCGTTTCTCTGACAAGTGTACGTACCCTATAGCCAAAAATCTCTTTTAAAAAATTAGTACATCTATACATGTTGTGAAAAGCTGTCTAAATTAAAAACGCAACTTCCTATTTTAGGAAAGTATATTTACTTATATAGTCCTAATTTTTAAATTACACATTAAAAACAAATAAAATCATACATACATCAATACCTATAAAACTGCACACATCTATAAAGTATATGGATAGATTCAACAAAGAAAAAAGCCTGAAATAATATATACAAAAATGCAGATTGTGGGAGAGGCAGCTCTGAGGGAGAATATACAGAGGGGGGTCAGAAACTAGCACATCTGTAGACCACAGCACTGTGCAAGGTTGGCCCAGGGGCAAAGGTCTTGAGTTCTGTCTAAAGACTCCCTGAGTATGCCCAGCATGTGTGTGCCTGTGCTCAGGGCTGGCTAAGATGGGTTACAGTCTCAAACTGGTTAAGGGTGCTGTCCCTCTGTGCCTCTTGCTCACGGAAAATTAAATAAACTTAAAAAAAAAAAAGTAGAAAGCATAAATGTCTAATATGTGTCACATCTGAGGTTTTGGATTAATGAGAGACTTAATTTTATTTTCATTTATTTTTCAAAGTTTACTTATTTATTTCTTCCATGTGTGTGACAGACAGCCCCCAAGCCTCAGTCAGCCCAGGGTTGGACCCACCTGTGCCCAGCACACTCAGGGAGGTTTCGGAAGCAAACCGGGAACTTTCCCATGTGGGTCAGTCCTGCAGCACTTCACCTTCTACTGCCGGGCCACCATTGGCCTCTGACGTTTAACTTTACATGTATATAATTCTGTTAGCTATTTAAACATTATTTATAATAATCTGGAAATGAAATTTTTTAAAAGATAATGCAAGTCAATTTTCAAAGCCCCTATTCTAACTTATCTACAGTCAACGGAGGAGGACTTTATCACCCAACACAAATATTTAAGAACATAGTTGGGTAGAGCCAGCAGGTGGCACGGAGGCTGGGGCACTGGACTCCCACATGGCTGACCACAGTTCAAGTCCTGAATCTGGCAGTGTGCCTTCTCGCTTTCCTTCTTTCTCCCTTTCTGTCTTTCTCTAGTGAGTGTACATGTCCCATAGTAAATTAAAAATAGCAGTAATAATAAATAAAATTGAATAAATAATTCTTTTCTAAGAAAAGGAAATACACACAGCAGGGTAACTGCAGCAGGTAAAGGAGTTTTTGTTAAAGAAAATGAAGCTTTTTTTTTTTAATTCCTCACACTGGTTTTTTGAATGCAAAATAGCTTATTTACGCTATGATTAGCCTTCATGAGACTCTTATTCTAAGTACCTTTTAACTTACCTAGAATACAAAAGGCAGAAAACAAAGACCATCAGGCCAATAACACTCTCTGAATCCAGGAAATGCCCAGTCTTTGACACTGGAGGAGAGGTAGGGGCCACAGCAGTTGAATTTCCGGGAGCCACCGTTGGTGCGGTTATCTGTGAAATGATGCTCAGCAGGCTGGGGTTGCAGGAACGATCTGAAAATGCAGAATTTTATATTACCTACAGTTCATTTTGTTCTAAGAAAGCTGCTCAAGGGCTGCCTGCCCATTGTCCAGTCACGGTGTGAAACACGGGAATGCTGTAATGAAAAGAATCTGAAGCTTAGCAGTCAATAACATTCTGTATGAGAACCAGTGACTTAGTTTAGGAAAAAAAGCAACCCTGTCAAATTTCATAACCATCAACCTTAATTTTACTGGTTTAATAGTTTAACTGACTGACCTTTTTAGTTCTCCAGTATTACCATTGCTACAAGCACAGGAGTTTATCCCATGGTTTTATATCCTTAAGTAGCTATTTATACAGCTATTTATATAGCTGCTTAAGGATAGAATAAAAAAATAAGTGATAGGGAATTCTGTAGTAATTGTTTTCCTCTAAAAGAAGTCTCTAGAACACCCTGAAACCAGTGACTTAGTTTAGAAAAAAAGCAACCCTGTCAAATTTCATAACCATCAACCTTAATTTTACTGGTTTAATAGTTTAACTGACTGACCTTTTTAGTTCTCCAGTATTACCATTGCTACAAGCACAGGAGTTTATCCCATGGTTTTATATCCTTAAGTAGCTATTTATACAGCTATTTATATAGCTGCTTAAGGATAGAATAAAAAAATAAGTGATAGGGAATTCTGTAGTAATTGTTTTCCTCTAAAAGAAGTCTCTAGAACACCCTATTGAGAACCAATCTATTGGGTTGTTGATAAAGTCAGGATGTGTTTTTTCAACATTTTTCTATACTAAAATGCATCATGACTTTTCTGACAACCCATTATAATAACTACACAAGACTTCCTGTAGCTATTTCTTCTTAACCCTGTGACAAGAAAGTAAAATCCAATTAAAACAATTCTACAAAGAACCCAAACAAGACTGCTCTGGTCCAGAGCCCTCCAACTAGTTTTACTCAGTTGAGGTTAGAGAGGCTAGACTATCTAAAGGAGTGTGGCCCTTAAATCCCTCAGCAATGAACAGCCATGAGTAGCATGAGAAGTAAATATGAAAGATAAATATCTACAAATCTACAATGAACATTGTACATTTAAGAGAAGTTTGTTTTACATTTGCTCTAGGTCTAATTCTGTACCCACCAAAGAGGTCATTTCATTTCATCAAACGAATGGCTGTTGACATTCCTTACCAGGTTCATTGGACATGGCCGACCACGTGAGGTACATGGTATAGAGGGTGATGATAGAGGACTGTAAGAGGCCAGAGCGAGGCTGGTGTTCCTGTGGAATAAACAGGGGAAGAAAGCCACAAAGATTGCAAAGGGCTGACACTGTAAAATCTGGTGCACTTCGCTAGGATTCACTCAACTGTCAGCAACTGAGAATCATCTGATTCGCTGTGATGCCAGGTAACCTTTCAGTGTGAGTTGGCTTGTGAGAACCAAGAAAGACGAAGCATGTACCATGGTTCTCAAAACATTTTTATAATCACAGGAAATCCTGTGTATCACACAAGGCTTGATTTTTCTAAAAAGCCTAAACTCAGCTTTGCCTCAGACTAGCTAAGTGAACCATCACTTTTTTGAGGCTTCAGTTTACCTTTTCTTGTGACCAGGGGACATGTGCATTTGCCAGAGAAAGGGAAAGAAAGAGACAAAGCGCCTCCCAATAGGGCCTGGTTATACCACAATCTCCTTTCCTCTGTCTTGTCAAGATTCTTGGACACAGGCACACAGTGTGCTTACAAGCTGCTGGGGTCAGGACTTGAACTGTGGCTGGTCATCTGGCCTCCTGTGTGCAGCCCTTCATCACCATGCTAAAGAGCTAACCTAATTTTCTCATTTTTAAAAGAGGTACTTTCTTGGACCAACCCCACAGTCTAGTGGTTAAGGGACCCAGATCCTACATGGCTGACCACAGTTCATATCTTGGCCTTGGCAGCTTGAAACACACAGGGCACACGTGCATGTATGCCCCAAATCCCAACAGAAGGGAGAAATGGAGTAGGTGCTCTCTCCCTCTCTCCTTCTCTCTCTCTGATGAGCACATGCACACTCTGGCCATTAAAAATAAAATGAAAAAGGTAATATCCAGGTTCATTTCGTATTTCACATCTAAAACACAATAATTTTTTTAAAAGTATATTTATTTATGAAAAAGAGAAAGTTCTGACAGGGTCTCGCCATGTCAGGATCCTTTTGCCTAGCTCCCAGCCTATGTAGGCTGGGTTGGAAACCAAACCCACATTTCCATGACCTCAAGCTGCAGCCATGAGAATTCAGACATCTTAACCACCATGCCACCTGCTAGCCCCTCCAGGAACTTTTTTAATGAAGGGAAATTATTCATTTAATTATGATATGGCATGCAACAGCTCATTGTATATTTACTGCTATTGTGAATATTTTATCATAACATGGAAAATGTTTAAGTGGATAAACTCAGACATAAATTCATTTTAAAAGTTACCTGGGTTTCAAGTCCGGCATTAATTTAAAAGCTTACATGGGAGGAAGGAGCAGAAAGTAATCATACCTGAATTTTTGGATGGATCGATATGACAGAAACCACAACGCAAAGGATCAGATTGATACTGATGAAGAACTTGTTTTCTGTGCAGCCATCTGGTTTGGTGTAGTATGTGAAGAGCAGCCCAACGAAGATGATTGACAGGATATAAAGCAAGCTTGTGACAGACAGTAAAGCTAGAAAAGGGAAACCAGTATGAATACCACAGTTGTGGTGTAAATTTTTACAATGAAGACCCAGTTTCTACTGCATATAAAAATGAAGAGACATTGGGGCCAGCAGGTGGTGTGGTGGTCAAGGCAGCTGGACTCTCACATGGCTGACCATGGTTCAAGTCCCAGACCCACTCGCTTAAAAGTCACGCCAAGTGCATGTATGTGCATACCCAAAATCCTGACAGGGGAATGGAGGAGAAAGGATTACAGTGTGGCTGATTTTTCACTGTCTCTCCCTGGCAAGTGCACACACCTTATGACAAAATCAAAAACAAAAAAAAGAGGCACTGTTTCACTTCTATGGGGTCAGTAATTTAGAGCAAAATTACAGAAACCCAAGGTTAAAAAAGTCACAGATTCTGTTAGATTGGCTCAATGTTAAATTCCAAAATCCATCAAGCAACTGAACTCACTTCATCGATTACCTAGCTGACTTCATGGGTTCGATTACTACACATTTGATCCTTCCAGCTGAGGTTGACTACCTGCTACATGCTAAATAATACGTATTACAAGGCCCTCCTGGGAAACTAGAGGATTCCTGGGTCCTTAAAATGGTCCATTTCACAGCAAGTCACAAACCAGGGATTTTAAGGGAAAAATAGGTATCTTGTTGGTTTTTTTTTTTTTTTTTTTTTAAGTTTTTCCTCTGTAGCACTGGCTACACTACACCCATGTCCCATCACCAATTAGCTGGGGAAGTGGCTCATTTGCTGTTTTCAAACATCTAAAGTAACATTCCTTCCATATGCATGAATAATCACTTAGCTATGTCCCTCTGAAAACAAAAAAACACGAAACAGTACATAGTCCAGTGCAGACCAACTGCAGCAAACTGGCCCAGTTAACTTGATTCAATTCAAAGCACACTTACTTGAGAAAATTAGTTTCTACTTAACTCAAAAAATGTTGCATGTTTAAAATTAAAAGATATACCTTGCTACTAGCTAAGTTCTTAATAATTTTTCCATCTGGGGACCAGCAAGTGGCATGGTGGTGAAGGCGCTGGACACTCCCACATAGCCAACCACGGTTCAAGACCTGGACCTGGTGGCTTGCTTTCTCGCTTTCCCTCTCTCTCTGTCTCTCCCTGTGTCTGTGTTTCTCTGGTCAAATTAAAATACATGAATGAATGAATAAATACAATTTACAAAAAAGAAATATTCTAAAAAAAAAATTAAAAAAAATTTTCCATCTGAATATTCAAGAAGTCTCTACATTTATTCCAAAGTACAGTCAATCTGTAACTTAAATTCTTTCCAGAACTGTGTGATCCAAAATGAATTACAGAAAACAGAAGTAAACAGTTAAAAGATAAAATAAACTTTAGTCAGGTAGGAGTAAAGGAGGAGGGGTCACCAGGTGGCATAGTGGTTAAGGGCACTGAGCTCCCACATGGCCAACCATGGTTCAAGTCTCAGACCTGGCAGCTTGCTTTTTCACTTTCTCTCTCTCTCTCACTCAGCAATTAAGAGATTCCTGACCCATAATTGCAAATGATAAATACTATTTTGAAAATCTATTGCCAAAATAGTCATTAGTAATGGGGCAATAATAGGGCAGCAGTTAAATAAATCATGCTATACTGTGCAGCTACTCCATTCGCTAACATAAAAAGAAATTCGCCATACGGTGAGTGAAAAGAACAAGGTGTGGAACAATTACAGCATAATCCTGTTTACACTTAAATACAAAAGCAGCCCATATTATGTACAAATGGATAAAGGTCCAGTACTAGTGGCTACGTCTGGAAAGAAAAATGGGTCGCAGGTAGACAGAAATTTGCATTTTCATTCTTTGTAAAGTTCTATCATTTGTGTTTATGGTGAACACAAAAGTACTCTTTTTTTTTTTTTTGGAGAGGTTTTTGCTATAGGGCACGTGCGCTCGCCAGACAGACAGAGAGAGACATAGAGACAGAAAGCGAGAAATCACTCCCCAGAGGGGATGGTCATGCCGCAATCCCTTCTCCTCCATTCTCCTCTCGGGATCTTGGGCATGTACGCACAAGCGCCCGGCGTGAGTTTTAAGCCACCGGGTCCAGGACACGAACCACGGTCGACCACGTGGGAGTCCAGCGACACAGCTATTACGCTAACTGCTGGTTCCCAAAAGTACTCTTTCTTATACACACACTTAAAAAGGAATATGCTAAGTAAATAAAATGAAAAGAAAACTAGGCAATTTGATAGTATGTACTAAAAGGATTTGAAATGTTGATACCTTTTGACCCTTCCATTTCCAACCATCTATCCTAACCAAACAATCAGAAATGCACTCAAACATATACTATTAGGTATTTATTGCTGTACTGTATCCAAAATGTATTCATAAGCTACTTTAAAGTTTTTTAAAAGTCAAACTACAAACTATTCAAATGTATAGTACCTTTTAAAAATAAACTCAAATATATTACACACATTTTTCAATAACTTGTTTTCTTCTTTTCTATTCAGAGAAGACACACATGTACAAACAGAAAAAAGGCTGGAAGAATATAGACTAACATATTAACAGGGAGTAATAATGGCTGAATAACTGAATCATGGGGGAGTTTAATTTTTTTTTTTTTTTTTGGTCATTCCTGCCCCCTCAGGCTTTTGACCCAAAAGCATGTATATTATTTTTAAAGTTTTTTTTTTTTTTTTAAGAGATTTTGGCTATAGGGCCTGTGTGCTCACCAGAGAGAGAGAGGGGAAGAAATCACCCCCTGTGAGGATGGCTGCAATCCCATCTCCTCCATTTTCCTCTCAGGCTCTTGGGCACTCATGTGCATGCACCTGGTATGAAGTTTAAGCCACCGGGTCTGGAACTCAAACCATGGTCAACAACGTGGGAGTCCACAGACGTAACCATTACGCCACCTGTTGGTCCCTAGCACGTATTATTTTTATTAAGGATGGAGGAAAACATAGTTGAGGTCTCTCAACAAAAATTATTTTTTAAAGTGAGGTATGACTGAGTCATTACCCCTAAGTAAGTAGAAGGCTCCAAAATTCGTTATCATTAAATGGGCTTAAGTCCTATTTCCAACCTGGAAGTTTATGTGCCCTTCCACACAAGAAGCTTTTACACTAGATGAGAAGTCATAGCCTGAATGAAGCAGGAAGGCCTAACCGCCCCTGCCTCCCTGAGATCTGGGCTGTACCTTATGTCTAATGCATTGAGTTCCACGTCCATGGAAACAAGGTTATCAAAACAGAACGATGCTACTAACCACAGCTGTTTTTCCTTATCTAAACACATGTATTTACAAATCTCAAATAAACAAATTCTGTGAGACTCCAGTGGCTTACATTATCTGTGTTACTCTATCCCACTAATGCAGGTAACTCAAAATCTACCCAACTACAAAATAATAGCTTTGTCAAAGGCAGCTCAACATCAGAACTCACACGTTTAAAGCCGGGGAGACTTTTACCATATACCCTGCAGCATGGCTCTCACAGGTGAGCTGAGATACCTACCAGCATACCAGAGTCTTGGGTTTCCTTCTTCCATTCGGTTTACCCATAATTCATTCCAAGAGTGAGCAAAGTCTACCAACAGCACCAGCTGGATAAGGATGAAGAAGGCAGCCCCTCCCATGCCAACAGCAAACCAGACTACAAACCAGAAAACAAAGTCATTCTTTAACACAGGAGTAACATATCGGGATGCTATTGTACAATGTTCTAAACAGATTTCAACTCAAGTAAAATTGAGGTGGAAAAGACCACCTGTCTCCAGCAGTACATACAGCAAGCTTATTATAATTCCAAACTTAAAGGTGTTCTCTGAGAAGTGTTCTATTGGGTTTTAGACCTTTCTAAAAATGTATCTTAGGGCCAGCTGGTAGCATGGTGGTTAAGACAGTTGGATCCCACATGGCAGGCTCTGAAGTTCAAGTCCCAGACTGGTGGCCTGAAAAACACAGCAGGTACAAGTGCATGTACAAAATCATAAGAGAAGAATGGAGAAGATACTGCAGTATGGCCATGCCCCCTGCAGAGCGCTTTCTCACTTTTCTCTGTCTCTTTCTAGCCAGCATACATAGACTGTAGCAAAATTCTTTTGTTTTTCTTTCTTTTTTTGGAAAGGTTTTTGCTATTTTGCTATAAGGCGTGTGTGCTCGCTGGAAAGCCAGAGACAGAAAGCGAGAAATCACCCCCCAGGGGGGATGGCCATGCTGCAATCCCTTCTCCTCCATTCTCCTCTCGGGATCTTGGGCACACACGCGCACACACCCCCGGCATGAGTTTAAGCCACCGGGTCTGGGACTCAAACCACAGTTGACCACATGGGAGCCCAGCAACATAGTCATTACACTAACTACTGGTCCTGTGTAGCAAAATTCTTAAAAAAATGTTTCAAGTGTGTGTTAGCTTATTCCAAGGGGAGCCTAGGTTCCAACATTCCAAATGATATTATAAGCCTTTTTCTTTAGAGGGGAAAAGAAATAAAGAAAAAAAAAATCACAGAAATCCACAGATGTCATGTGATGATATATTAAGAAAACAGGCTAAGACAGTGACATCGTGGGGTGGATAGTGGCATGATGTTCTGTGAGGCTGACCCACATGGGAAGGTTCTAGGTTCACATCTGAAGATCTCCCTGAGTAGGCCCGGCACACACATGCCAATAATCCAGGGCTGGCGGATGCTGGAATAGATCGTGGTGTCAAGACTCATTGACGGGAACCAGCAGTTAGCGTAATGGCTATGTCGTTGGACTCCCACGTAGTCGGCCACGGTTCACATCCCGGACCGGCGGCTTAAAACTCACGCGGGGGGTGTGTGTTTGCATGCCCAAGATCCCAAGAGGAGAATGGAGGAGAAGGGATTGCGGCATGACCATCCCCCCTGGGGGGTGATTTCTCGCTTTCTGTCTCTATGTCTCTCTCTGTCTGGCGAGCGCACACACCCTATAGCGAAAAGCTCTCCAAAAACAAAACAAAACAAAACAAAACAAAAAAAAACCCCCAAAGACTCATTAAGGACGCTGCCTTTCTGTCTCTCTTGCTCATGAAAAAATAAAATTTCGAAAAAAGACAGGGATAATGGAGTATAAGAGTTATAAGTCTTTACGTTGTCGAGTTCTCTGATTAAATTTGTATTACTCTTTCATAATACTGAAAAAGATTAACACATGGGGTCGCTGACAGTGTGGTGGTTAAAGTACTGAATCCCACACAGCTTCCCATGATCTGAGTCCCAGACCGGGTGACTTAAACAGTAACACCAGGCATGTGTGCGTGCACGTCTAAAATCCTGGAGTAGATCGGAGAAGGGACTGCAAAGTGGCTATCTCCTCTGGAGGATGATTTCTCACTTCTCTCTCTCTGTGTCGCTGCTATGTGTACATGTCCCCTGTAGCAAAAACTTTAAAAAAGAAAAATTTACATATGGCTCCAGAAAAGCCGAGAGGTGAGCAGAACACTTCCTGGCTTTAGATCAATAATTTATTATTATTCCCTAGTCATATGAATCAGATACTCTCTCAGTGAATTGTCTGTTCTGCTAAATTAGTAACGAGAATGTGACTTTAATTCAATAACTTGTAGAGTTTGTATATTTTATAATTAACTGCCAACAGTGAGCCATACCTGTGGTGAAAGAGCCCCCAGGAATGTAGAAAGATCCAACCATGATTCCAACGATGGCAGCAATTTTGAAGAACCAAAACCTATTAAAACATAAAAATGCATTTATAAAACGTTACGTTTCCTCTCATACTAAGAAAAATTATTTCCTGAAATGCAAAAATAAATTAGTAGCTTTTTTTCCCCAATATGATGGTCCAGGCTTATTTCTTCATTTGATCTGAGACTAGACAATTAAAGGTTGTTAATACAGAGAATAAATCAGTCTCATTAATAATTAACATGTACATTTAGTCTCCCTGCTTTTAGCACCTAGAGGTAGAAAATTTCCTACCATTCTGGAGAGTTCCAAAACAACAACAGTGTTACCTATGTAAGAGAAACCACTGGAGCCAGAAGGCATAATGGTTATTTCACTGGACTCCCACATAGTCAACTGTGGTTAGAGTCCTGGACTCAGAGGCTCGAAACTCACGCTGCGCATGTGTGCATGCGTGCCCAAAATCCTGAGAGGAGACTGGAGAAGAGACTGTGGCGTGGCCAACCCCACAGAGGGTTATTTATCACTTTTTCTCTGTCTCTCTCTGTGTCTCCAGCGAACATATGTGTCCTATAGCAAAAACCTCTCTCTCAAAAAAAAAAAATCATAATAATAATTTCATGGGCCAGCTGGTGAGCATGATGGCTAAGATAAAGCAGCTAGAACCCATAAGGCCGACAGCACAGTTCAAGTCCTAGAACAAACATCCTGCAGAACACGCCAGGTGCCCTGTGAGTGCATGCCTAAAATCCCAAAAGGAGGCAGAAATAGAGGAGGACAGATTGCGGTGTGACTGTCCCCCATGGGAGATACTTTTGCCCTTTTCCTCTCTGTCTCTCTCTCTGGCCAATGTATACGCTCTCTGGCCAGTGCACATGCCCTATGGCAAATTGAAAAAATAACAACAAAGGCTGGCGCGTAGCACAGTGGTTAAGATGGCTGGACTCTCACATGGCTGAAAGTGGTTCAAATCCCAGAACTGGCAGCTTCCTTTCTCACTTTCCTTGTCTGTCTCTCTCTCTCTGGTCAACTTCAAAATATAAAATAATGACAATGAATTTTTCTTTAAGTAACAATTTCATATCTATAATAGGCTGGAAAAATACCTGGGCCACTGATTTGCACATCCCACTGCTTCCATCAGATGGAACATGAACTCCTGAGGGGAGGAGTTGTCCCACCCTCACGCACTAGGCTGACGTAAATCCTACGTACCCGTTGTGTACTGCTGCTCTGGGGTCTTTACTTGTTTTTACTTTCAACATGAGCACAAAGAAGGTAAAGAAAAAGATGGCCAAGGCAAAGTTGATGCGATACACAGCTTTATAACCAACCAGCACATCACAGTCTTTATCCACCGCTATATCAGTCATCTTGATTTTAAAGCCCCCATCGCAGAATCCAGGAATCTAGGAAAAAGCAATAGGTAATATCCATATTTAAAGAGATTTTATTCCACTACAGGAAAGCCTAGGTGTTTATAAAGCCAACCACTCAACAACTTCAAGACTATCTGTGGGATTTTTCTGTTTGCCTTCCACCTCAATTCTGATCTCGTTACCACACAATAAAAGCAACTTGCATTTTAAAAATAGAAGTACTCTTTTTTAATGCACTTTTATGCAGATGAGGTTATCTTTATTTTTCCCTGAGATTTTCCAGCTACAATGACTCTTCCCACAGGCCAAAGACCAGGCTAGTTTAGATGCTTTAATATTAAACACAGAAAGGAAAAAAGTGTTTTGGAGTCACTGTTTTCATATATTTCCTCTCAGTTGTTAGACTGTAGCCCAAAGATGTTCATTCTCATTATCTTTATTTCTGGAAAAGAACTAATATCTTCATATCCTGTGTCTTGACCACAACCCAAAAGTAATTTTAAAACCTACAAATAAAAGGAACTTGGTTGAGAACAGTGAAGAAATAAGAACAATTACAATTAAAATTTTGCAGACTGTATAAACAACCAGTAGGTGGTGTGGAGGTTAAGGTGGCTGAGTCCTACATGGTAGACTTTACAGCTTGAGACCTGTACCCAGCGACCTGAAAGTCAAACGGAGCAGGTGTGTACGTGTGTGGGCATACCCAAAAGCCCAAGAGGAGCGTGGAGGAGAAGGGATTGCAGTGTGGCCCTCCCCCTGGGAAGTGCTTTCTTACTTTCCCTCTCTCTCATGAGTGAATGTGCCTCATGAAAACTTAAAACACACACACACACACAGAGTACCTTGGGAGTACTTCTATATCTTTATTATATTATTATTCATTCCTTCTATAAAACTTACCTTCTTCAGCTGAGTTTCCATGCCTTCTGTCAGCATGATACAGGACACAGCAGTGCCCAGGAGGAGGATGAAAGCATAAATGAGGCGCGTCACTGTGGAATTCTTACTGTTCGGACAGCAGCTACACAGCAAACAGGAGGCCCCGCTGCACAGGCACGGAACCTGCAATAAGCACACCGTGGATCATTCGAGACCTCCAACAGGTGACTCCTCCATGACGCAGACGTCGCAGAATAGAAAACAAAACAAACCCACTAGGCTTTGACAGTTTTAATTGAGAGAATCATGGCTAGGATGAAGTGGTTATAAGCATAGACTCCAGGGTCAGCAGGTGGAGTGGAGGCTAAGGCGCTGGATCCCACATGGCCAATTCCGCAGTTCAAGTCCCAGACCCAGCAGCTTGACGATCGTGCCAGGGGCATGTGTTTGCATGCCCCAAATCCTGAGAGAAGACCAGAGGAAAGGAACTGCAGCATGGCCAGCCCCCCTGAGGTGAGGGGTGATTTCTCACTTTGTCTCTCTCTCTGTCTCTGACAAGCACACATGCCTATAGCAAAAACTAAAACAAAACAAAGCATGGGCTCAGGAGGTAATAATAGAATTTGCCTCCCTTGGACCTCGCTTTCTTAAATAAGCACTCAACACATTGCTGAAATATAGTTAAGAGCACAATAAATGCTATATTCACACAGAAAACACATTTTGTTTAAAAATGAAAAAAATAAAAATAAAAACCACATACCTAACTCTACTTGCTGTTCACTGAAAATTCTAGTTTCCAAAACTGTTATAGCAGAAAGCTACATTATATTGAAACCTCCCTTATGAATAATGACACTAAGAATCATCTAGTTCCATTCAAGAGTAACTAGGAATTTCCTCAAAATGTCAAACACAGAATTATCATACGACCTAGCAATTCTACTCCTAAGTATAAACCTCAAAACACTGCAACAGCTATTCAAACACACGTTGCAAATGAATGCTCACAGCAGACTACTCATAATCACCAAAGGGGGGAAAGAATGCAAATGTTCATTAATTGATAAGTAACTATGGTCTAAGTAAAATGGGGTTTATGCACTCAATGGATTGCTCAGATAGAAAATGAAGTACTGATACTTGGTACAACATGGGTGAACCTTGACCACATCATGGTAAGTAGAAGTCCGATGCAAAAGGTCACATATTGCATTATTCCATATATATGAAATGCACACTACAGGAAAAACCAGAAACAGAAAAGTGGCTAGGGGTTGGGGGAGAAGGGAATGGGAAGTGGCTGTTTCATGGGAAAGGGAGCACCCTTTTGGGAGGGTGACAATGCTCTGGAGCTGGACAATTGTGGTGGGAGCAGGACACTCTGAATGTACTAAATGTCAACAGATTACACCTAAATCCTGGAATTCTAGCCTTTACTATAGAATTGAGACAATAAATAGCTGTTGTTTTTATATAAATAGCTTAGTCTGTGCCATTTTGTTATGCAGCCCTAACAAACTAAAGCACCTTCTTCCTTCTCTGTAACTATTATGAGAATAGAAACACCTGAGGGGAAGGCCACCTTCACAGGGTTGTATGCCTTGCACCTTCACACACAGTAAATACCATATAACCGTGCAACACATCTGTCCTACTGTATGTCATTTCTCTACTGCAGTAAATGACAATGCTACCTCTCCTTTAGATCAAGCCAAAAACCTGAAGTCATCCTGGATGTCATCTCTTCTTCCAAAATCCTCATCCTACCTGTCAGCACATCAGCTCTACCCTCAAAATCTGATCCCTTTTATAGCATCGTTAGCTATCACCTTGGGCCAAGCCACTCCTATGGTCTCTCATCGACTTAAATGCAATAGCTCCTGTCTCACTGCTGTCAGGAATCCACTCTGAACCCACAAGTATGAAGACATGTGAGATTCAACAGATACAGGAAAAAAGGCCTTCTCAGTTTCCCCTATCTGGCTCAAAGCAGCAAATTTTGGGGAAATAAGGCTGCCATAAATCACCTCTCAGGGGGAGTTTTTAAGCCCATAAAGAAGGTGAACCTCCCACACCTATGTAAACAAGTGTCCTCAAACTTTATCTCGCTTGTTTTAAAAACCCATCTGCCTTTCCTAAAGAAAGCTATTTATTCTTCCAAGAAGCCTCTCTCCCACTAAATTAGGGATATACGCTCGACATGCTAACCAAAAGAGTTACTCCTACACCTATGAGCGCCTTGCACACATAAACAAGCATCTTCCTCTTGCTAATCTTGTGAGTTTAATTAGCAGGCACCCAGCTACTGAACCAAAGAGGGTGGAGGGAACGTTTTTCCTCTCCCACACTGCTTTACCCTTACTTTTCCACCCTTTATTCGCCACACAATAACCAGGACTCGTGTTAACACAAAGGTCAGATCATACCACTCCTCTTTTCAAACTCTATATAAAGTCTATAAAAGGACTCCCATGCCACTTACCACTGAACAGTAAAAGGTGAAGTTCTTTAAAAACTACTAGACCACATGCTGGTGGCAACAGGCTCTGGCTCCCTGCTACCTTGCTGCCTTCATTTCCTATTATTCTTCCTCTCATTCTTTCCACTCTCTGGTATACTGAATTCTTGGAATTAAAGGGATTAATATAAAAGCGATTAAAACACAGAAATGCTCGGTTGGCATCAGTACAAATCTTTGCTTTCAATCTAAACTGTGTTTGGATTTCAACCTGAACTGTTTCAAGTTAACAAGGTGGCAAAGGCATTGCTTGTTTCAAATTACTGATTTGCTCAACTAATGACCTTAACTACATACTTTTTTGAAACCTATTCTGTAAACAGTGAGTTTGAACCAGTAATGGACTGTAAAAATTAACCAGGATTCTTAAAAATGTGATAGAGGGACTGGCAGGTGGCGTGGTGGTTAAGGGCACTGGACTCCCACATGGCAAACCATGGTTCAAGTTCCCTGGTGGCTTGCGTTCTCGCTCCCCCCCCCTTCTCTCTCTTTCTCTCTCTTTCTCTCTCTCTCTCTCTCTCTGTGTCCCTCTCTGGTCAAAAGGAAATAAATAAAGTTAAATAAAATAAATCTTTAAAAAAATGGTAGTGTAAGAATAAAATAAAGTCTAACCTTTGCCTCTTTCGCTTCTGTAGGTGTGGAAACCTGGGATAATTTGTTAACACCTTGCAGGGAGCCTGGAGCCATTTGCAAGTTAGCATAACACCTTGCAGGGAGCCCGGAGCCATTCGCAAGCTAGTCTGGCAAGCTAGTTTAGCACTTTGCTGGAAGCCCGGACCCTTGTATTGTAAAATTCCTCCCTTCTGCTAGCCCCAGAAAGCCTGACCAAAGGGTCGCCATAAGATTACCCTTGAAACCCCTTATCTTGCTTCCTCCCCTCACCCCACGGACTCACGTCTATATAACCTGAATACTCCTATGTTCAGGACTTCACTCGTTCTCATGTCTTGCATGACTGAGAGTGGAGTCCTAGCACGCTAGCAATAAAGTCTCTTGTATTTTACATCAAGGACCGACTTTTGTGGTTGATTGGGGTCACCATTGCCGTAACATTCCCTGGACAAGAAGGTTCAGCGAGTTGCCGGCAAAAACCTTTCAATAGAATAGAAAAATTGTACAGTAGGTGGCAAAATCATTTCATGAACTTTTATGTCTAAATGTGTACATTAGATCAACTACATAAAAATGTATTTCTTCAGCTCAAGGTCAAAAAAAATCAGAGATATTGCTTCTAAGGAACCCTCAACAGGCCATTCTGATTTAAAAACGACTTTAAAGGATGAGAAGGATGCATTCCACCCTAAGAAATTATGGAATGAGCCAAGACGGACTCCTTAGTCAATGACATCAGTTAGGTAACAAGAAAGCGATTTCAAGGAATCATGCTCTTAGGAAGCAGATAGAACTCAGGCACTAAAATTTTCTTTTAAAACACGTTTACAGTTTTCAAAGTGATACAACCCATGTATTCATTCTATTCTCAAAGCAGCCCTCTCAAGGCGAAGAATGCTGGGGTGATTACCCTCAGAGATAAATGAGTTATAGAGTTCTTCAAATGTTTAGGCCTCGGCTTCCAATTCTAATAACCCACAAGGCCTTCTTTCCTTGCACCAAAACTGCGGACAGGCCTCGGTTAAAAATCTCAGCTGAGCCATAGCTTTGGCAAACCCCGCGTTCTTATATAAAAATATTATTCAATCCAGCCAAAATTAAAGAACGCCACCTTAAAAGGTGCTTGGAAAAATAACCGTAGGGCCGGCGCCCGGGGAGCTGCTCCAGCCCCAGAGGCGCCCGCAGACCGGAAGGCTCGCGGGGGCGGGGCGATCGGAATTGTAAACAATGGCGGCCGAGCTTCCCCACATTCCTCAGCGACCCCGGAAAGCGCGCCGCCTGCTCTCCACCCCAGGGCTTCGTGGAAACGGTCCCCCGACTCGGAGATCGCCGGCACCCCGAGAGCCAGCCCCACCTCCCTGCAGAACCTAGGGAGGTCAAGGTCCATTCGGGTCTGGGCTTGAGGCTCCCTAAGGCCCTTCTCCCAAGCCAGAGGTCCGGCGAGGACGCGGGACCCCGAACTCACCCAGCTGGCGAGGGAGAAGACCCCCAGCACAGCCCCCATGATGACCGGTGGTGGAGGTGGCCGGTCCGCAGGCTCCTAGCGTGGTGGTAACTGCCAGCTGAGGCGTCTCCCAGAAACGCGACAGTTTCTCAGGCCCGAGAGTCGGCCCGCCCCTCGCCCGACGCAAGGGGTGACGTCACTGCGTGGCCCCGCCCACCCTTGAGCTGGGGAAGGCGGGGCTAAACTCTGGGGTTGCTGGATCTGTGAGCCGGGCGTTCGCAGGGCACCCCTTCTGTGTCAATACCTGGGGACATGGCGGTGCACAGAGAGACCAGTATGTACCCTCGTGGATGGGTGGTTTAGTTAGAAGAGAGTGAGTGTGAGTGCGCCGTGCCATAACGTGATGAGGACGGTGAAGTGAAGGGAGTGTTATGGGTTACCCTACTGAAAGGGTAAATCCAATACCTCCCAGCTGCCTTGGGCATTTTAATTAGAAAGATCTAAAACTTCCCAGGTGCCTCAGCCGTTTTTCCTTCTTCCTTCCGGAGGTAGCTGGCCCCTCCTTGACCTCACAGCTGGTGACTGCCTCGTTTTTCTATGTTTCTGCCTTCAGACATGAAGATTGATAGTCTGCCTTTTGCTGATAACAACCAACCAAATAAATGGCACATCAAAGTGGTCAAATGTGATAACCAGAGATAACGATGAGATAGCCCAGAGACTGGAAAAGACTAGCACCATAAACCCCCTCCCTCCCTTTGAAGTGAGCAAACCTTTTTCTCTGCTTACTCTGTGGGTCTGTGAATTCTTTCACTGCCCTTGGCACCACACAAGCTACCTTAACCCCTTCTATGTAAGGAAAGAGTAATTTCATTGGAGAATAGACTTGGGCGTCTTTTCTAAGGAATTTGTATGTAATCTGAGAACTGAAGGACAAATCTTAGTTAGCCCTGGAAAGATGAGCACCGCTTACTAAACATGCACACTGTTTGGGGAAAATGAAGGGATTAAAGTGCATTAACAAGATATTTAGTAACCCCAAGAGCGTGAGAATGTCGTTTCAAACCATCAGGCTAGTTGTTTAGGGACAGCATGTATTTAACATTTATCTAACGTTTATTTATCTCCCTTTTTCAATAAATATTTTCTCAGAGGGCATGCATGCTTACCAGATACAGGGAGATGAGAAAATACCCCCACAGAGAGTGGTCACCTGCAATCCTTTCTCATCCATTTCTCTTTTCTGTTGGGATTTTGGCCACACATGCACAGGCGTTTCTCAAGCCAGCAGGTCTGGGACTCAAACCACGGGGTTAATGTGGGATCTGGCTCCCTTAAGCCATATAGCCAGCCCCCATCTTTTTTTTTAACAGAGAAAGGCTTTTCCATATTTTTCCAACAGGCAACCATATCTATAATATTGTTTTGTTTGGAAGGGTGTGTGTGTGTGTTTACAGCAGTTCTTCCATGTCTACAAACCAGTGCTGATGTGCCATTTAAGTAGTGATGTAAATTTTCCTTCCCAAATTTATGTAAGAAGTGAGAGTTTATTTAAAGAAAGAAGTGGAAAAATTACAAACATAGCAAAGGTACAATGCAAATATGCAAAAAGCAGCAATGTTATACAAATAACTAACATAGGGAAAATTTTGTCTGAGACTATAAGGGCCTGTAGTGTTTGGAATCCTAGAATATTGAAGCTGGAAGAAACCTTACAAGTATATTACAAAGTAATTTTTTATAGAAACGGAAAAAGGCTCAAAGTGAAATGGTTTACCCAAGGCCACAGAAATAATTAATGGTAGAAAAATCTTACCTCAGCCCTTCTCTCTCCCAAGACCCTTACACACACACACTCACCCAAGTCAGATTGCTTCGAGCCCACTGCACCTTTCGGGCAACCCGTAAAATACTTGCTTCTTCCTATCTGAGTATTGCTGCACACTATTTGGAAGAAAGCCAAGACAGTTACAAAAATCCATTGATCATATTCCACCAGGAACACACACATAGTCAAAAAGAACTAAGTTTATTTAGCTTACCCGACAAGGAAGAACTCACACCAGAGAAACCATGAGGTGTCTTGGTATGAGGTAATTGGGAAGGGCTGGCCCTAGCATAGTGATTAAGAAACCAGACCCACATGGTCAACTGGGGTTTGAATTCCAGCACCAGGCCTTATAAAACACAATGTGTGTGTGTATGTATGTGTGTCCACATGCACATCGTGCACCTGCCTCAAATCACAGCAAGATGAAGAAATAGATGAGGGGACCAGCAGATGGTGTGGTGGTTAAGGTGCTGGACTCCCACATGGTCAATCGTGGTTCGAGTACCAGACCTGGTAACTTGAACATCACACTGGACATGTATATGTGTGCCCAAAACCCCAAGAGAAGAACAGAGAAAGAATTGCAGCATGGCCATCCTCCTAGCGGAGGATTTCTCACTTTCCTTCTCACTATTTCTCTTTGTCTCTCTCTCTGGTGAGTGCATGAGCCCTATGGCAAAAACTAAAAGAGAATCAAATACAAAAAGAAATGGATGATGAGAAGGGATTGTGGTGTGACCATGAACCATTGGAGGGTGGGTACTTTCACTCTGTCTCTGGTGAGCACATGTGACCTTTTGCACTTAAAGAAAGAAAGGAAGTAAGGAAGAAAGGAAGGAAGGAAAGAAAAAAAGAAAAGAAAAAGGGAAACAAATTATTTGTAACTGGGAAGAGCTTATTTTAGGATTTGGGTTTGTGCTGGATCACTCTAAAGAGTGCTTTGGGAAGTGGAGCACAGTTTTGAATTGGACAATTAAGTGGATACAAGTCAGTGATTAGATATCATTTCTTTTTGTTTTTTATTTGTGAACAGTTATTTAACTAGGTTCTTATCAAGAAATTTAGGACTCCAATTTGTGAGGATAATCAACATTTGTGAGGGCAAACATGGACCGCAGGTAGCCCTGGAGCTGAGGAATAGCTTTGATTTTTGGTAAAATTTGCGAGTCCACAGCTTTCTGATCACCCTTGCGGCGGCTCTGTAATCTCATTTCTCTTCCTGGTGTCTGGGTTCCCACAGCTTCTTTTTCTTTCTTTCTTTCTTTCTTTTTTTTTTTTTTTTTTTTTTTTTTAAGAATTGATTTACTTTTATTTATTCATTCATTTATTTTCATTTGACCAGATAACCAGAGAAAGACGGACACATAGAGAGAAGAAAAGAGAGAGCAAGCTACCAGGTCCAGGACTGGAACCGTGGTGGGCCATGTGGGAGTGTCCAGTGCCTTAATCACCATGCCACCAGCTGGAAGTAAGCATTGATACGGGGTTTGGGGATTTTCACTTTGCTCATATCAATTTTTGTGGAGGTGGCAATAACAAATTTCTGGTGTGTTCTATGCAGTGGAATTCAATTGTGGATCAGCAGTCCAGTCACAAGTAGCAAGCCACTGCTCAGCTGCTTCAGGAAAACCACTCTCTTGCCTCTGTGGCATCCAGTGCAGATGAGCAAGATGGTCCCAGGAGTGATGCTGACTCGCAGCTTTCTCACATGCTGACTGAAGGGATTTTTGCCATGGCTCAACAGCTTTCGAGGCACATCTTCAGTAGGATAAAACCTAGGCATTTTGCACAGTTTAACCACCCAGGTACCCCCATTCTTGTCTCCACCGACTGGTTTTGTCATAGTGGCAAGAACCTTCTCCTTTGTTTCCTTTTCGATCCTGGATTTAGTGGCCAAGTATCTCCTCTGATACATGACCTTCCTGGAATACATGGTGGATCAGGAGTATTTGCTGATGCCCTGGACTAGGACCAGGTTTCGGCTGCAATGGGGCTTCCCCTTCTTTGACTTTTTAGCCTTGGGGTCATCCTTTTTAACCTTGCCACTGGCATCAGCTTCTTGGCTTCAGGCTTCTTCTCCCTAGCATCCCGCCTTGCCGGCTTTTCACCCGCCATCTTGTATAGTGGGAAAGAGAACTACAGTACCTTAATAATTTCTACCCAAGGGGCAGGAGGATTAAAATAAGGCTAGATATGTCATTGGAAAGAAGGCAGGACTCATTCATGTTCATCAGAAAAGCAGAATGTTGAGTCATATTTCTGGGACCAGAGTGGCCTTGTCTCTGTCTTGTTCCAACTGCAAAGTGGTCTTGTCTATTTGTTTATATTCTGGGATCACTTTATTTGTTCAGTTAGGAACAATGGATCTTGCTGCCAGCTTCTCATTTTCTTAGCTGTAAGCATTCCTCCCAAATGTGGAATCCTACCCATGTCTTAGTGTTTCTGGCCCGAAATGGTTAAGTGTGTCTCCTCTAGTTGGCAAAAAAGAAGGGAGAGCAGATCTTTGGAAATCATCTTCTCCAATTTCCTACCTCACACAGGACTCTTCAGTGACATCTCTTCTAGGGTAGAGTACTTACTGCCACCCAAGGCAGCTTCTCTCCTATTTACTTATCCATTGTCAAAACTATAGGTTGTTTTATATGTATATACACACACATGTATATATATAATAATAATTATTATTATTACTATTATTTAGTTTTGCTATAGGCATGTAGGCTTGCCAGAAAGAGACAGAGACTAGAAGTGAGAAATCACCTCCCAGAGGTGATGGTGACACCACAGTCCCTTCTCCTCCATTCTCCTCTCAGGATTTTGGGCACGCATGCACTCATTCCCAGTGTGATTTTCAAGCTGCTGGGTCTGGGACCTGAATTGTGGAGTCGGCTATGTGGGATCCAACGCCTTAACCTCCATGCTACCTGCTGGCCTGAACCAAAGAAGTATATTCTTGGATGGCACGTTCTGATCACCTAACAGTCATATTTTGGGGTGCTATGTCCTGGGCCTAACATAAGCCATAGAGATATCTGGTGGAACAATGGCCCCAACACAAAACAGTAAAAGTCCTGGGGGCTGGCCAGTGGCATGGTGGTTAAGGCACTGGACTGCCACATGGCTGACCATGATTTGAGTCCTGGACCTGGTAGCTTGCTTTCTCACTTTCTCTTTCTCTCCTCTCTCTCTCTCTTTCTCTCTCTCTCTTTCTCTCTCTCTCTCTCTCTGTGGGTGTGGTGTGTGTCTGGTAAACACACATGCCCTATAGTAAAATTTAAAAAAGTATTTAAAAAGAGTAAAGATCCTAAAACAGAAGGGCACTTGACTTAAAACCCCCAAAGCCAGTGTGGCTGAAGCATGGACAAAAAAGAAAATGGTAAGATGAAGCTGAAGAGGTGCCCAGGGGCAGTTTTGCTTAGGGGTCCATGGACCCAACAACTCTAGATTTCATTCTAAAAGTGACGGAAAAGCTCTTGAAGGTGTGAGGCAGAGGAAGGACACGC